AAAAAAAAAAAAAAAAGAAAAAGAAAAAAAAAAAAGAAATAAATATGCTCAATATTTGTTAAATGTTGTTGGTGTACATATCTTTGTATATATTCAACACAATAGGTAACCAGAATCAAAGGGATGTATATAACTTAGATTCCTTAAAACCTATTTTTGGAAAGTACCAATCTTTACATTATTTTCATATTTCCTATTATCTTAAATCAGTAATAAACTTATTTCATTATATAACATGTAATAACACAACTCTCTGGAATATCTATGACTATCCCAACAGAAAATTAAGCTAATATTTCACTTGTTTATACAAAATTTGACTTATTCTGATTCCACTGAGTAATTTTTCCAAGTGGAACATGAAATATCAGGATATACACTTACACTTCTTTAACACTACATTTTAATAATTGAAATATATAATCATGAGTGAAATCCAGAGAATTATTTCAAATGTGTTGCTAAGTTCTATGTCCTTGAGAGGATACTATTATTTTTAAAGCAAACAGGTCACTCTTTAGGAAATATACCTTAAAAAAATCTCTTTAGTGAAAACGTTGTTTGAAGATTATAATCAATGTTTTAAATTTTACTTATATTTTTCTTTCCATATTCATCAATAATATGAATTACATGATTTCCACAGTGTGAAATGAATATTGTTTAATAAGTGAAACATGACAAGAACCACAGTAGAAGGTAGAAATTTACTGAAATGTTCCACCACAGTTAAGAGGAGGGGAAAGCTATCATATTTTAAACTTTGATAACACAGTAGAAGGTCAAGATAGGCTCCTGCTCCCACAGTTGGGTAAGAAAAGGTCTTACTAGGTGAGAACTAAGATTATTGCTGAGAAAATTGAAAGCAGCAATGCCTAAGTCTCATATATAATACCCAGCTTCATAGCAGGCTCTTTAAGGGACTGAGATATAAAACTTGCCAACTTCCACTTAAATTCTTAGTGAGTTTTAATTTTAAGGTAAGAACTTATAAATAATTAATTTTGAATAGTAGCAACTGAGGCATGGGAAATAATATATAACCATTTGCAAGGCATAAAATAAGTGTTCACCTGGGTTTCTGAATTTGGGGTCTATATTTCAATGTAAATAGTTTCCTTTGTGATCCTACTTATTTACTTTATTTTACCTTATGTATTTCAAAATATTATTCTAAAAAGGGTAAACAGATTTTACAAGACTGACAAAATCAAGCCATATAAAAGTTAGGAAACACTGACCTGTATATTTAAATCTTTCTTAGGTAAACAATTTGGTTGTCTTTTAAAAGTGATTTAATATCTGTCAGAATTCTATTCTTAAATAGTTTACTTTTTCTGTTATATATGTTTATAATAGTTCAGAGTTTGTATGTGCCATTTACCTGGATAGATACAGATTATAGCTCTGCTTATTTAGTGGCTGCTATTCCAAACTGCAAGCATTTGCAGAGGATACTCCACAAATAGAGCTAATTCATATGTTTTTAAACCACAGAATTTATTTTCTTACAGCTCTGGAGCCTGGAAGTTCAAGATCAAGTAGTTGGCAGGGTTGGTTTCTCCTGAAACTTCTCTCCTCAGCTGGTACATGGCTGTCTTCTCCCTGTGTCTTCACATCTTTTTTTTTTTTTTTTAACATCTTTACTGGAGTATAATTGCTTTACAATGGTGTGTTAGCTCCTGCTTTATAACAAAGTGAATCAGCTATACATATACATATATCTCCATATCTCCTCCCTCTTGCGTCTCCCTCCCACCCTCTGAATCCCACCCCTCTAGGTGGTCACAAAGCACTGAGCTGATCTCCCTGTGCTATGCAGCTGCTTCCCACTAGCTATCTATTTTACATTTGGTAGTGTGTATATGTCCATGTCACTCTCTCACTTTGTCCCAGCTTACCCTTCCTCCTCCCCGTGTCCTCAAGTCCATTCTCTATGTCTGTGTCTTTATTCCTGTCCTGCCCCTAGGTTCTTCAGAACCATTTTTTTTTCCTTTTAGATTCCATATATATGTGTTAGCATACAGTATTTGTTTCTCTCTTTCTGACTTACTTCACTCTGTATGACAGACTCTAGGTCCATCCACCTCACTACAAATAACTCAATTTAGTTTCTTCTTATGGCTGAGTAATATTCCATTGTATATAGGTGCCACATCTTCTTTATCCATTCACCTGTCGATGGACACTTAGGTTGCTTCCATGTCCTGGCTATTGTAAATAGAGCTGCAATAAACATTGTGGTACATGACTCTTTTTGAATTATATTGACTGACACTATTGAAACAAGACCCAGTATTGTAACAACCCAGCTTTAAAAGCATATGATAGTACATGCAGATTTGATGAGGATTTCTAAGGGAAAAATCATTTTATAATCATCAAGTGAAGTTGTACGTTTTTAATCATTTTTCCTCTCGTATAGTCGCCTTTGAAAGATTTTTTAATTTCCAGGTATCCGGCATAGCTTCCTACTTATTTCATCACCTTTGCTACTTACTTCTCCTAGTCTCAAAGTACATGGGAGTTACGCAGTGTAACACAAAAGAATAGGCCAGTGAGCATTTTCTTTCACTTATATACAACCATTGCAATGACACAACTCCAGATCAACATAAGCTCAATGTAGACTATCTCTCTAAATATGATAGAAGAATACTAAAAAAAAGAAAAACAAACATCACAGTGCTTCAAAGTATTATTCAGATATCATTGAAAATTGTCCTAGAATCAGACAGATTTATTTTGCATTTATACTGTAAAGATGAGATAAGTAAATATAATAGGTTTTTTTTTAATAGACTTGTAAAAAGTAAAGCTACTTAGGAATTACTATTTTTTCTTTTTTATAAAGAAATTATTTCTTTATAAAGCTGAAATCTTAAAAATAAATTTGGATGTATCTCTGAAGGACAAGAAGTATAATCTCATGTTTGGGGCAAGAAATGACTTCCCTACATCTGTATTATGTAATATAGTAAGCTGATTAACAGCAGCAGCATTATACTTTTG